ATGTAGTCTATTTCTTTTTTTGTTGCCTTTGTTTTTAGTGTCATATCCAAGAAGTCATTGCCAAATCCAATGTCATGAAGCTTTTCCCCAGTTTTAAGTGTATTATGTTTACATCTTTAATCCATTGCATTAATTTTTGTATATGGTATAAAGTAACTAAAAAAATTCTTTTGCATGTGCATATTATTTTCCTGGCAACATTTTTTGAAGAGAATGTCCTTTCCCTATCATATAGTCTTAGCACCCTTATTGAATATCATCTGACTATATATATGAGAGTTTATTTCTTGGTTCTCCATTCTGTTCCACTGATTTTTGTGTTTATGCAAGTACAACACTGTTTTGATTATAGTAGGTCTATAATACATTCAGCCATGATTAAAACATGATTTTAAGTTTTGAGTCACTTTAATTCTGCCTGGTGTATACAGCATAGAGTTGCATTTTACTTTATCACCCAATTTGGAGATTTTTTCTTTAAACAGATGAATCAAGGCCATTCACATTCACTGGTTGTCTGATGTTTGGTTCCAATTGTCCTTTGTTTTCTTATATTTACTGTGTGTATCACGATATGTTTACTGTATTTTTTTGTTGTTCCTTTGTAGTTTTTATTTCCTTGGGTAGAAAAAAAATAGGTTTTCTAGAGATACATATATAATACTATTCATAAAGGTAGCTCCATAGACACCTTTGTCCTCACCTTACATTCTATGGTTTGATTTGCTGGGTTTAAATGATACCCCTGACTCCTAACTATTACTTAAATGATAGCCAAGGAGCTTCTTTTACTTTGTCCCCTTTTTTCCTCTTATTTTAAAAATTTCATTATTTCTGCCAAAATGTATCCCTTCTACCCAATTTCTTCTATCCCTTGTATTAATCTTGGATCTACAATTACAGTATACTTAGCACCCTAATTTAGTTTTCCCAGTCATCTCTTAATTGGATGAAATTCATTCTTTCACAGATTTCCCAGGAAGTACTCTTGATTATAGCATTACCTGGGGTTCCTGCGTACTTAAAAACTTTGCTTTGACTCCTTAATTATAGGTTGGCTGAATATAAAATCCTTGGCTCATACTTTTGTATAATTTGAAAATGCTCTCCTCCTTATTTATCTTAGTATGTTGTGGAGAATTCTAACCTGATTTGACTTTTTTTCTAGACACCCTGAGGATTTTGTTTTCCTCTTTATATTTAGCATCTAATGCTTCTACTAGGATATGTCTTGAAATTGGCCAATCTGGATCCACTTCCACTCAGACATTCTTCATTTTTGGAAGCTCTTCCTGAATTATAGGTTTAAATATTAGTTCTGTCCCATTATTCTTCTTCGTAAGGAACTTCCAATTATTCATACATTGGCTCTTCTTTGTGTGGCCTCTATGTTGAACTCTTTCTCTGTGACTCTTTTCACTTATTTTAAAAATTTTCACTCTGGGCTTTCAAACTTTTCTTTCAGATCTTTCGTACACTTTCAGTTGAACCTGTTCTCCCTCAAGGACCTTGTAATTTCAAAGATGACTTTGTCTTTATTCCTCAGATTCTTTCCTGAGTTCATTCAACTCTTGTTTTCTCTCTTCCTGCTTTGTTTTTCATTCACTTCTGTTCTAAGTTTTGTAGTTTATCACATGAGGTGTTTTCTCATATCATATCTGGAGTTTTCCTTAAAAGTATTTATTCCTTTTGGAATGTGTGTCAGTTTTCTTCTGTTCAGTGTTTCATTTTGGGGGGTAATTTTCATCAGCGGAGATATTTTCTTTTTAATTTTACAGCTCTGTATGAATGTCAACTACTGTTTTCTGTTCACTTTGAGTTCTTAAAATTTTTTTTTTTAAGATTTTATTTTATTTATTTGACAGAGATCACAGTAGACAGAGGCAGGCAGAGAGAGAGAGAGAGAGAGAGAGAGAGAGAGAGAGAAGCAGGCTCCCCACTGAGCAGAGAGCCCGATGTGGGACTCGATCCCAGGATCCCGAGATCATGACCTGAGCCAAAAGCAGCGGCTTAACCCACTGAGCCACCCAGGTGTCCCGAGTTCTTAAAATTTTTGAAGTAAGTTCACACTTACAAAAACTTTGTAAGTTTTCTTCTGTAATTGAAGAATTTTCTTCTGTAAAATTCAAACAGACCAGTTATGTTGTAGAAGGTCCCCCAATTTAAGCTGGCCTGATGCATCCTTATAATTAGATCCAGGTTGTGCTTTCCTGGTTTGTTTTTTACAAAAATGCCACAAAAGGGGTGCCTGGGTGGCTCAGTTAAGCATCTGACTTTTGATTTTAAGTTGTGGTCTCAGGGTCCTGGGATCAAGCCCACATCAGGCTCTGTGCTCAGTGCAGTCTCTCATCCATCTCCCCCCTTATTCCCCCTCACTCACTCACTCTAATAAATGAATAAAATATTTAAAAAAACAAAACAAAAAATCCTAAAATGCCACAAAAGTGATACATTGCTCTTAGTAGTTATGATCCATGATGTTGGTTATATACCATAACTAGTAATGTTAATTGTGCTTGGATAAGGTGATATCTGCCTGGTTCCTTCACTGTAAAGTTACTGTTTTCCCCCTTTCTAACTAGCATTTTAAGGAAAGATACTTTGAGACTATATGCTTTCCCTTAAAAACTCACCTGCCAGTTATAGCACCCACAGATGATGACTGCCTAGATCAGTTATTACTGCAGTGGCTGCCAAATAATGACTTTCTAATTTTGTCATTCTTCTATGTTTCATAATTGGCTATCTAGTCTAACAGAGAGCTTTCCCTTTTCCTTCATTGATTTATTCATGGTGATATGAACTGAGTAAACAGAATGCATAAAACATACTCAAATCTTGAGAGATATCTTTGAAATATTTATGTAGAAAGGTCATGAGGTCTGTAGCTTAACCTTGAATATTTCGGCAAAATAATAGCAATAATACACACACACAATCAGGAGTGTCAAGTCAAATGTGATAAATATTAATTATTCAGTCAAGTTGAACAGTTTATGGGAGATCATTGTACTATTTTGCAACGTTTTTGTGGCTCTTTTTTCAAAATATAAGGTTTATATATAGCAGTTTTGAGATACTGCCAAAACCTTCAAAGATACTTGAAAAAAAAATTAAAGTCAGTCTATAGATTTAATTTACCAGCATTTGAATGTATTCAAATTTTATTACCACTGTCTATAGACATTTAACACTAGCATCTGTGCAACAGTCCTCTGAGACAGAGAGCACACCACACATATCTTATATACTAGGATAACAGTACCATGTTCAACAAGACTGTTTCATGATTAAGTAAACCAAGCTTGACAAAGCAGCCAACTCACCATGAGTGATTCCAGTTTCAGGACATAACTGAACTGATCACATAGGGAACATTACAAATAATATTAAAATGTTACAGAGACTTTAAAAAGTTTAGAATTCTTCCCTAAGACTATATATAGACAGGTTCACATAAAAGAAACCTGTCCATTACAGCACTCTGAGGTTTTAGCAAAGCATACGTTATACACATATTTGTCATACAGTGCAATTTTATTATGTAAGACATGAATAATAGTGCACTTAAATCCAAGAGTCACATTCAAATATATCAAGAATACAATCCAAATACCCAGCTATTGAAGACATATTCTTTTTTTGAATATTACTAAATTGTGCAAGTACATTTTTAGTGTAGATGGTAATAGATCTATAAGGATGCTAAACAACAGAACTCAGTGTATTTGTGTAGAATAATCCATGTCTCCAAAGATATGCGCATTTTAAAAGTGAAGCAAATGGAAAATGTCTTGGGCAGAGACACAGGCAGTGCTGCACAACTTTTTATTACAAATTACTAATACAGTTAATCTGTATACTCACAGATGGTTAAACAGAATGTTTCTAAACATCAGGAAGCTTTCATCAAGAATTAGTTTTCAGGACAATGTAGTGTCTACAGTGACCCCCACTATTTTTCACTAAATTAAGCATAAACTACAATTCCACAACAGATTTCAAAAATAGGACTTTCTTAAGGGGAATTCTGATAAGAAGTTCAAACTTTCCAAAACCTCATCCTACAGTTTCACAGGGTCTCATCTGAGCTATTGGTTTAAAGGAAGAAGATGCTGTGGACACAATATAAATAAAGACTCAGCGATGGTAGAAATAGTTTACTCAAGGAAAAACAAATCAGAAAACTGATACTATAAGGAAATTAGCATTTCATATTGTCTGAGAATAAATATTAATGGAGGAATTAGTCTTTAAATGTTTTTTGTTAAGATGGCAAATTACATAAAAATACTATCTGGTAATAACTTAGGATACCAGCTCTGGAGGGAGAAAAGATCTAACCCACATTAAAGAATAATAAATAACTAATCTATGTTGTCTTGAGGTATAATAAACCTGTATCAGATGTACTGAATGACTTCCTTCTCTGGTAAATTTTGAAGCTGCCAGGACAGGGAATCAAGTACTCTAAAATTTGCCCCTTTTTTGGTCCAGGAAATAACTTTCTGATAAAGGGTGCTCGTGATAGCCTCTTGTAGTTTTCACTCATTAAATCTGGATATGGATGAATACCACAATTTTGCCTCAGGTTGGGGTCTGATAATAAGTGAATCTGATGACCTGGTTAAGACTGACAATTAAAATAGCTGATTTCAAAACCAGATCAACTACAAGAGTTACATCTCTACTAAGCAGATTTTAACTTATTTTAATTAATTAATTAATTAGAGGGAGAGAGAGAGAAAGAGAGATAGCATGAGCAGCAGGGAGAGGGACAAGCAGGCTCCTGGTTGAGTAGGGAGCCCAACATGGGGCTCCATCCCAAGACCCTGGGATCATGACCTGAGCCACCCGGGCACCCTGCAGATTGTTTTTTTTTAAAGTACAGCAAAATGTTCCTTCTATTTTTCACTTCAAGAGACAAACTATTGATCAGACCTTTTCCATGATACTGATTTTTTAATTTAGTGTAAATACTGAGTGAATCAAAGACTAAATTTCATCCTTTAAAATGAAAAGCAATGACATATCACCTCTGTAAATGAGGCCACAGAATTCAAAGAAAGCTTTTAAATTACCTGTATGGGATCTGAAATGACTAACTGTTGTCTTCCAAAGTTTCCCCAAAAATCACTTTAAAATCTTGTTTTAAATGCCTAATTTCTCTTAGAAATAAAATATATTTATAGGTTGTTTTAATCTCACTAGATTTTATAGTTTCTGCTTGTTTTCTTCTCATTTAATAAAACCAGAATGAAAATTTTGACCAAGCAATTAATTAACTGAAAAGTCTTACCACCCAAAAAGTTTCAAAATCTTAATATAATCAACCAACTATGTTCTTGTGGTTTCTAAAAAAAATTGTTAATTTAAAATCTAAGGATCCCTGTATTGCCAATAGAAGACTATAGCAATCTTTTTTATTTTTAGAATATTCTCTGTAGGACCTACTTTTGCATCCCTAAAATGTAAACCAGCCTTTACTATAAATGAATACATAAGATGCTTAATATATATAAACTTGATTATATCTCACTTGATTATTATTGGCTCCTACGGGGTAATTCGTTTGCTCACTAATTCTGCCACACTCTCTTCATTCAAGTTTTTAAAGCCACATTTATCAAAGGTAATTCTCCAAACTTAATGTTTAACAAGTATCTTCTCATGAGTATATCCATTTTATGTGTTCTTCTCATCCAAGGAATGGGTAACTTCATAGTATTACTAAAATCCCTCTTTAAAGTATATTGATAACGCACCTTTGACACAGTTCTTGAGTTTGGGAAAACCCTAATATTTGCATTATTAATGTCCCCTTTGAAAATGCAGTGATATCAAAGTTCGTTTTTATGACCTATAAACAGAACGGAGGTTTGCACAATTCTGAATTATAAATTAATACTAAAATGCAAAACTTGTCCAAATAGCTTAAGATTGCTGCCTCAATAAAAGAAAAAGAAACACTATGCTATTACTGGACTCTGTCTCACACATAAAACATTCATCAGGAAGACAGGTTTAAATTGATGGTGTACAATTTCTCCAGGACCAAGCCTAATAAAAGCCCTCATCCATGGAAGCCCAATGGCCAACGTCACCAGTGGGAGTTATTTCTAAAGAATCACTAAAAACAACAACAACGAAACAAAACTCTGAATAGTTTTCCATATGGGTCCGTTAACGGAGAAGGGCTCCTTCATTCTATTTTTGAGACAAAAACAGGAGCAAACAAAAGGATCAGCAGCATGAACAAATGCAGCAAGCGATTTTAAGGGGTGATAAAAAAGCTAGAGTATTTCCTATTTTAAAATATTAATATAAACATGTCACACAACATGGAGATATCAATAGCAAGATCTCCTTTGCTCCTTGCTGTAGCCTTTTGTGAGGGCTTTAATGCCTCAAGACTCATAACTATAGCCAAGAAAATAAGTCAAGAGTAAATCTGAGCTTAGAGAAGAATGCAGGCCAATATACCAAAGGAGAGTTCTGATATGTGTTGTTGTTGTCCAAGCCTTTTGCTACCAATCCAAGAAAACAAAAAAGATGAAGTCTGGGCAACTGGAGAAGGAAAGTATTTGCTATTTTATAAGGTGTCTGAATGTGGCCATAGATTATGCTAAACTAGATATTTTTTGAATTATATTTTTAGCTCAATATATAGCTCTAAAGCAGGGTTCAGTTTTGGTGTGCTTTACACTGAAATGATTATAAACAGATGGGGTGGAAATGGTATTAAACATTTACTCTTCGACTATCCTTTTAATAGAAAACTAAAATTGATAGTATTTATTAAAATGAACAGTGCCACAAAACAGAAATGTATATAGAAAGCACTGAACCACAAACTTTCAGCGTATCAGGCATAAACTAGCATAGCATAAATATGGTCATAACATTGAAACATTTCAATCTGTTTCTGCAGTTTAAAACATAGCTGTGTCATGTTCATAAACTTTCACCTCCACTTTAATTAGATTTGCCTAACATAAAATGAACAAATCAGCAGAGTCAAGATAAATTCTCAAAAGGCTCAGGCCAACATGAAAGGTTTAAGCTTAGTATCAGTAAACTCTTAGAATACTTAAAAATAAAACATAATAAAACTTAACATATATAGATACATGAAACAGTGCAGTAAGAACTTCAGACAAGGGCAGTGCATTTCTGGTTTAAGGAAACCGTACTTGTAGCTTAATTATAACAAACTAACATCTATCCTAAATGATGGTTTAATGGGATATCCAGCACTTGATACACATTTAATATGTATGTTGAAAAACCAATTCAACAGTAATGATACTGTATCAGTAACAAAGACCTACTTTATTTCTATATTGCACATACTTTTACTGTCTACTGTTAAAAGTTACTTCTTAATGTAAATATCAGAGGATTATACTATAATCCTTGTAAAAATATTTACCTTGAATAAATATTCAGATTTTCCTTTTTTGACAAACCAGAATGAGAATGAATTCAGCTTTGTTAATCCAAAGCTATTTTAAAGAGAATGGCACAGGTGTTGGAAATAGCATGTTAATCACAAAATTCTTGGTTTATCAACCATTTCAGTTTTGAAAAATATTTCTGCATTTGGAGTGTTTAAAAGTCTGATCTTTTTTAAAACTAACAAATATTCCCTAAAGAGATTAATCATATCCTTAACTGGTCTGGAGCACTGTTTGGAAAGTAGACACAGAAAAAATTTTAGGATTAAATGGCATATAACACAAATGGCATTAAATAGGTCACCTGTTTCACATAAAATAAAATGACTAGCACCTCCTTTCTGCTCCCAAAGTAGAGAGGCCTAACAGGCCACATGAAACATGAGTAACTACAGTAAGTTTCATTCATAAAGTATTGAGAAATCCACTATATTAGAGGGTTCTCACATCTAAAGCCTTACGTTCAAGGCTTCAGTTCACTGTGTAAAAGTGAACTGAAGGGCCAAGGGAGAGAGAGGTGGGATTCAGGTCCTGGAAGGTCCTTATTTATGCAGGTTGTGGGGAGACTTTTCAGGGACTCTCCTGCATTCCATCCTCAGTTTCCAGTTCTGCCAACTGCCTCCTAAGTACATTTACTTTTGCCTGTAATTCCTTGTTATATTCAATGATGTTAACCATTTCTTCATATGCTTCATCCAAATACTTGGAGGATCTGTTCCAACGTAGGAAAATACCTATTGAATCCAGTAAAGGAAGACAGAAGGCAAAAAAATACATACAATGGATTAACATTATTCCATATATGATATATTCTTTTTTTTTTAACAATTCGCTTCTATATTTCATTATACTCTGAAATAGGCAAGCATCTTGAGGTACTGAAAGTGTAACTAAATACACTAAAACATCACTATTTCTTTGTACATAATTTTCATTCTTCAAACCCCCCACAAAATTATGAAATGAATTAAAACACTATTCTCTGATATATCCAGGATTATAAGTAAGCTGGTAACTTACAATGCCATAAATTTTCCAGTTCCACAATATAAATCTTTTTTTTTTTCAATTATAGAACTTTACTCAGACCTGTAGGACCTTATAAATGTATAAAATCACTTTCACTACAAAAGTGACACTTAAGGCAACAGCAGAACCATAAACATTGTTATTTAAAAACCTAAACTTCCCAACAAACAAAAGCTTAGGACCAGATGGCTTCACAGGTGAATTCTACCAAACATTTGGAGAAGAGTTAATACTTATTCTCTTCAAACTACTCCAAAAAGTTGAAGTAGAAGGAATGTTTCTAAACTCATTCCATGATGCCAGCATTACCCTGATACCAAAACCAAATAAACACAGCGAAAAAAAAGAAAATTGTAGCCCAATAACCCAGATGAAACTAGATGCAACAATCCTGAACAAAATATCAGCAAACTGAATTCAACAATACCTGAAAAGCACCATACACCATCAAGCAGGATTTATTCTAGGGATGCCACCATGGCTCAATACCCACAAATCAACACAATATACCACATTAACAAAACCAAGGATAAAACCAAGTGATCATCTCAACAGATGCAGACAAAGCATTTGATAAAATTCAATAGTCATTTATGATTAAAAACTCACAACAAACTGGGTATAAAGGCCATGTATGACAAACCAATAGCTAACACACACAACAGTGAAAAGCTGAAAGCTTTTCCTCCAGATCACAAATAAGATAAGGAGGCCTACTCTTACTAACACTTTTATTCAACACAGTATTGGAGATCCTGGCCCAGAAATCAGACAAGAAAAAGATATAAAAGGCTCTCAAATTGGAAAAAAAAAGTAAAACTGCCACTATCTACAGATGACATAATACTATATATAAAAAATCCTGAAGACTCCACCAAAAAACTATTGAAACTAGTAAATTCAGTAAAGTTGAAGGATATAAAATACACACAAACCCACATTTTTATATAGTAATAATGAACTACCAGAGAAATTAAGTTAAAAAAATTCCATTTATAGTTGCATAAAAAAACCTATGAATAGGAGGAAGATCTTTCACCAAAGAGGTAAAAGAACTAAGACACTGATATACTGAAGACAGCACAAATAAATGGGAAGATATACCATGCTCATGGACTGGAAAATATTGTTAAAATGCCCATACTACTCCAAGTATCTCCAGATTCAATGCAATCCCTATCAAAAGGCATTTTTCACAGAAATAGAACAAATAATCCTAAAATCTGTATGAAAACACATAAGACCCCAAATAGCCAAAGCAATCTTGAGAAAAGAACGAAGCTGGAGGTATCACCTTCCCTGATATATATTACAAAGCTACAGTGACCAAAACAATATGTTAACAGCACAAAAACAGACACATAGATCAACAAAACAGAAGAGAGTCCAGCAATAAGCACCTACTTACACAGTCAACTCTTCAATAAAGGAGGCAAGAATATACAGTGGAGAAAAGACGGTCTCTTCAATAAATGATGCTGGGAAAACTGGACAGCTACATGCAAAACAATGTACTGGACCACTTTCTTATATCATATCAAAAATAAACTCACAATGGATTCAAGATTTAAAGGTAAGAACAGAAGTGATAAAACTCCTAGAGGAAAGCATAGGCAGTATTTTTTTGACATAAGTTTTAGCAGGAATTTTTTGGATATGTCTCCTCAGGCAAAGTCTAACAAAGCCAAAAATGAACAAATGGGACATCTGACTAGAAAGCTTTTATTTATTTATTTATTTATTTATAAAAGATTTTATTTATTTATTTGACAGACAGAGACATTGAGAGAGGGAATACAAGCAGGCGGAGTGGGAGAGGGAGAAGCAGGCTTCCTGCTGAGCAGGGAGTCGGATGTAGGCCTTAAGCCAGGACCCCGGGCTCATGACCTGAGCCAAAGGCAGACTTAATGACTGAGCCACCCAGGTGCCCCAGACTAGAAAGGGAAAGCTTTTTTTTTTTTTAAATTTTTTTTTTTTAAGATTTTATTTATTTATTTGACAGAGAGAGAGAGAGAAAGAGAGAGACATAGCACAAGCAGGGGGAGCAACAGGCAGAGGGAGAGGGAGAAGCAGTCTCCCCACTGAGCAGGAAGCCCGAAGTGGGGCTGTCCCAGGATCCCGGGATCATGACCTAAGCCGAAGGCAGCTGCTTAACAAATGAGCCACCCAGGTGCCCCATGACTAAAAAGCTTTTAAACAATGAAGGAAACCATCAACAAAACAAAAGGCAACCTACTGAATGGTTATTTTCAAATGATATAACTGATAAAGGGTTACTATAAAATATATAAAGGAATCACTTAATTCAACATAAAAGAATCCAATTTAAAAAAAAGGTGTATGACTAGAATAGACATTTCTCCAAAAAAGACATATAGATGGCTAAGAGACACACAAAAAGATGCTCAAAATCACAAATTATCAGGGTAGAATGCAAATAAAAACCACAATGAGATATTAGCTCACACCTGTCAGAATGGCAAAAAGACAAGAAATAACAACCACTGGCAAGGATGCAGAGAAAAGGGAAACCTCATGCACTGTTGGTGGGAATGCAAAATTGTGTAGCCAATATGAAAAGCAGTATGGAGATTCCTCAGAATATTAAACATAAACTACTATATGATCTAGCATTTCGACTTCTGGGTATTTATCCAAAGAAAATGAAGACACAAATTCCAAAAGAATGCCACCCTTATGTTAACTGCAGCATTATTTATGATAGCCAAGGTATGGAAGCAACCTAAGTATCCACCAACAGATGAATGGGTAAAGAAGATGTGGTATATATACACCACAATGGAATACTATCCAGTCATAAAAAAGAATGACATCTTTCTATTTGCAACAACAATATGAGTCCAGATGGTATTACGCCAAGCGAAATAAGTCAGGTAGAGAATAATAAATACCACATGATTTCACTTAGATGTGGAATCGAAAAATGAAAACCAAAACAAACAAACAAAAGAAAATAGAACCACACTCACAGATACAGAGAACAATTTGATAGTTGCCACAGGGGAGGGAGATGGGGTGATGGACAAAATAGGAGAGGATTAAAAGGCACAAACTTCTAGTTATAAATAAAACATGGGGATGCAATATATTGGAGTTAATAACAGTGTAACAACTTTGTATGGTGACAGGCTGTAGCTAGACTTACCATGATGATCACTGTGTAATGTATGTAAATGTTGAATCACTATGTTGTACACCCGAAACTAATTATATGTCAACTACACTTCAATCAAGGAAAATAATAAAAACCTAAACTTCAGTGCTCTGTCTCTTAAGAGGTGCTCTTTTAATTCTACAGGCACGTCCTTCTTTTCCCAATAATTATCCTTTTATTACAGACTAAAAGGAAACATTTCCTCATCTGCACAGATCTACATTAACTGTGCCATCCCAACATCATGGGTTAATTTTCCCAATAATTATCCTTTTATTATAGACTAAAAGGAAACATTTCCTCATCTGCACACATCTATATTAACTGTGCCATCCCAACATCATGGGTTAAAGACATTCAAATAAGGAGGTACAAAAACTTTCCAGGCAGTAATATGTCAGTAGCTGGTAAGTTCATAAAGGTTTTACGATTCTTTACAAACACTTTCTATAAACCAATCTGCCAGAACCATAAAGTTACTCTCCATCAGAAAGGGAAAACAGAAACATAGCTTGAAGACTGGACTTCGTGAATTTTTCCATTATATGAGTCTGTGTTTGAAATCCTGTTCTACAATTCAGGAATGACTTAACACTAATGGTTACCTGTGATGTAAACATAAACAGAAGAGAGACATCTTAAGGTCAAAGAGTAATCTCGTTATACAACCCATATACCCACTATGAGAATATTTTACCTTGCACAGAATTTCTTCCATTTCTAAGCTGGGGCACTAAACACATACGGAAACTCTGTTCTTAATGGAATGGTAGGAATTCATTCATGTAACAAGATTTCCTCCAATCACTTCATCTCTAAACTCTCAATGAGGTTTGGTAAAAATTAGTTTAATCATCCCTTAGGCCATCCAACTCCAATTATGGCTTTTCTCCCAAGTAGCTAGTCTCTTACTTTATATATTAAACATGACAGTGGCTTCTAGGTAAACTGTCCCAGAAATCTTTAACAAAAAGTTTGGATGTAATGTCTCACTGAAGAGCTCACTGATCCTGCACAGGTGACTGTCTACAACAACTGAGAAAGTAGGCAAAGAGAAGTTCTGAGCAGCCAGAAATTTCCAAGCACTAAAGCTCAGACTCCAAGAATCTGGAGACTATCTGAGGCTGCTTTCTCACAGCTCTAACTTGGGAACACCTCAACAGATAAGATTAGAAGCATAAACCGAGGAGGAAGGAAGGCAGCTAATGACAGCTATGTCAAGAGGAATGAGAGGTGAGAGCGGACATCCAGACAAGTGACAGAGACCCAGTCTCAAACTGAGAGAGCAAAGCAATCTGAGGCCCTTTTACAGTTAAAGGGCAGTTTCCCACATATGAATTGCCCTTGTGGGCATAACATATTAAAACGTGGTATAATAACTGACATTTGTGGCAATTCAGTTCAATTACCAAACAGCTAGCATTCCTTGTGTGTAGGCTTTGTGCTGTTTAATACAAAGATGAGGGGTGCCTGGGTGGCTCAGTCAGTTAAGCCTCTGACTCTTGGTTGAGATCATGATCTTGGGGTCCTGGAATCAAGCGCTGTGCTGGGCTCAGTACAAGAGTGTGCTTGAGATTCTCTCTCTCCCTTTTCCTCTGTCCCTCCCCCTGCTCATGCTCTCTTTCCTCAAATAGATAAATGAATCTTTCAAAAATACAAAGATGAATAAAGATGTACTTATTACCTTCAAAATGATTAAAAAGAAATGGCATTTTGTAATCTTTGTTTAACGGATGGCTAATATATTTTAGATTTTGGTTAAATTTTTAAAAACAAGCTTTGGTATTTATGGAGATAAATTTCAGGAGTCTGAAAATTTAATGTAGGTTAAATACCTTCTTTAGAATGGACTGGAAAATTAAGTGTGAATTATTGTTCCCATGAACAATGAGATATGTACATCAGTGCATAGATAACATTATGTATGTTTATAGAACCTTACCAGAATAACTGGTTCATTAACGCTTCAATTGCATTTAGCAAAGTAAACTTTCCTAATGGCTATTTAATAAAGGAAACAGAAACCATCTGCTTGGAGCTTAAAATTTATTCCTATCCCAACTACCTACAAACTTTTTTACACATGTACTTTCCCTAATACCCATGAGAATGAGAATACCCAAAGGGGGAAAAAGATCCAAAAACAAGAAGTGTTGGCAAGGACGTGGAGAACTTGAAACCGTTGCGCACTGTTGGTGGAACTGTAAAATGGTGCAACTGTTATGGAAAATGGTATGGTGGTTCCTCAAAAATTAAACAGAATTATCATATGATCCAACAATTCCACTTCTGGGTACATAACCCAAAAAATCAAAAGCAGTGTCTTGAAGAGATATTTGTGCATCTGTGTGTCAACAGGTAGAAGCAACCCAAGTGCCCATCAGTAGTGTAAGAATGGGTAAAAAAAAAATGTGATAAACCCATATGATGGCAAACTATTCAACCTTAGACATTCTGACACAGGCTACAATATGGATGACTCTTGAGGACATCATGTTAAGTAAAAGAAGTCAGTCACAAAAAGACAAATACTGTATGATCTCGCTCATATGAGGTATCTAGAGTTGTCAAACTCATAGACACAGAAAGCAGAAAGGTAGTTACCAGGGGCAATGGGAAGTTGTTTAGTGAGTAGAGAGTTTCAAATTTGCAAGAAGAAAAGTTCTGGAGGCCTGTTTTGTAACAACAGGAATATACTTGACAAGAATGAACTGTATACCTAAACATGGTTAAGTTGGTAAATTTTAGTCACAATTAAAAATCGTCATGTATCTTCCTACCTAGGGAAAATGTCCACTATTAACAGCAGTATCCATCGAATAACCACTGTTTATTTCTGAAATGGGGGCTGAACAAAACAAGTGTGACTAGATAACACATGTGAAAGAGAGAACCATGTCCACACTGAGAAAAAAAGAGCAGTCACACACAGCTCTGAGTATCAGGTCCACTCACCATCTTCAAATATTAACAACAGCGGGTACTCAGAGGCAGTTCAGAGAGGATCCTTGACTATCAACAAAAAGTCTGCAAAAGATGCACAGCTTACCTTCCCATAGCTGAAGACTCTGTGGAGCGACTGAAGGCCAGATGACAAGATTGTTGGCTTCAAAGAGAGGATTGGCGAACTTACTCAGTTCACCAGGCCGATTGACCCAAGACCACAGAGACATCGTTTTCTGCTGCAGCTTCAACTTAGATCTGATTAAGGAAGAAAATTGCCATTAAAGCAATTACATGGTAACAATCATCATTAAATGCTCCTCCCCAGAGGACAGTTTCTTCTCTGTGTATATTAAAACTTTTAACTGATGAATAAAATGTTGTAGAATAACAATATTTGTCAGAAAATCCAACCAGCATTATAACTCTCAGTAATAAAACAAGGATAAAACCAGAATCTGGTCATGTTAGGCATAGTGTTAAACAATAACCCAGAGAACAGAATGTTACTATATACAACTCCTTTACTGTATCTGGAACTGTGTTTTATTTTTTAAAGATTTTATTTATTTAGTTGATAGAGAGCGAGAGCATGCATCAATACAAGCATGGGGAGAAGCAGAATCCCCTCTTAAGCAGGAAACCTCACATGGGGCTTGATCTCAGGACCCTGAGATCATGACCTGACCCAAAGGCAGACACTTAACTGAGCCACCCAGGCACCCCGGCACTGTATTTTAATTTAAAATAACTAAATATAAAAATAACTTTCTTTTTTTGTTTTGGAAAAGTCTAGAATGCAAAGAACAAAGATTAGAGACATATTAAAAATGGAGGTTGAGTCAAATCTCAAAGCCTAAAATGTTTTAGAGACTTAGCTTCTAGGACAAATAGATTACATGTACATAAAATGCAGATGAACTGTCAAAGAATAAAAATGAATATATCTTGATGTAAATACAGATACGATCTACATTTATATACAATGAACAGCCTTCATAAGAATAACCCTGGAGTGCCTGCGTGGCTCAGCTTGTTAAGCAAACTGCCTTCGGCTCAGGTCATGATCCCAGGGTCCTGGGATGGAGTCCCACGTTAGGCTCCCAGCTCCATGGTGAGTCTGTTTCTCCCTCTGACCTTCTCCCCTCTCATGCTCTCTCTCACTCTGTCTCTTTCTCTCTCAAATAAATAAATAAAATTAAAAAAACAAAACAAAACACCTGGAATTCTGTAACACTCTTTTATCATAGAATAAACTCACAGGGATGGAAAGTGAACTGGTACATTTTCAAAAAAAAAAAAATTTTTTTTTTAAGAAGAACTGAAAGATAATTTGTGGTAAACCTTACATCAACCAAAAAGAGAATATATTCAATTTTCACAGAGTTCTACTCAAGTTGAAATTTTGCTATAAAATTGGTTTTGTCTCAGGAATTACTAGATTATTAGTTCATTATGCACATCCTTTTTATGCTAGCAATAAAAAGAATCCACATAACCAAAGAACCCCCCATGTAGTACTGCAATTTAATTGCTAGGATAGCAAGTCCTATACTATGTCCCCAGGAACCAGGCATGGCGAGGATAGGAAACCACCATATCCACTGCTCCTGCAGTAAGTGGTTTGGCCCTGCCACCCAAGCCTATCACTAGCCAGTCACTGAAGTTTTCCCACCTGAGCCCACCCCATACAGCTTCAGAATCCTTCTCAATCAGCCCTACTGATAGGATCTACCAAATGGCAATCAGAATGTGAGATAAAATGCTACCGTGATCCCTTTATTAAAGGCTAGTTCTGGGGGTATAAGTAAACATAACATCAAAAAGCAGTCCATAGTCAAACATGTTATTTAAATGCTGAATTAAAGTTATAAATGTTGCTTTACTGAAGAGTGTCTTTAAGCCTTTAACAATTATTTCGTGACTTTTTGAGAGGGGACTACATTATACCACATTACCCAAATTTAACCAAGTAAACCACCAATTCTCCTCCTCCCCCATAAGAGTATAGTCCAGGGGTTAAGTTGAATATGTTTTAAGAAATGGCAGGATTAGGAATGCCTGGGTGGCTCAGCTGGTTAAGCATCTGACTTTTGATTTCAGCTCAGGTCATGATCTCAGGGTTGGGAGATCAAAATCCACATCAGGCTCTAATGCTAAATGCAGAGCCTGCTTAAGATTCTCACTCTTCCTCTCCCTCTGCCTCTCCCCATAGCTCCCGTGTGTGTGCACCCCGCCTCCCCCCATATTCTCTCTTAAAAAAAGAGAAAAGAAATGGCAGGATAAGATACTAGATTTCTAACACATTTAAGTGCCATGAAGCATTACCTTTGTGATGATTATTTGTATGTAATCTTTTTTTAAAATTTAGATTCAATTAGCAAACATATAGTACATCTTTAGTTTCAAATGTAGTGTTCAATAATTCATCAGTTGCCTATAACCCCCAGTACTCATCACATCTCTATATGTAATTTTCAATCTAAAAAACAAATAAACCAAAACCAAAATAACACAGCAAAGCCTTGACATGTACAATTTTGTTTTGTTCAGCATTTTAAAAGCATATCTGACCAAGAATCCTTTTTGGTGTAATATCTTTTAATTGCTTGGAATTAGTGAAATTGTTAATACGTTAAATTTTACATGCGGACTTGCAACTGCTAAAGGTTACCAATTATCTCTCCTTTTCTTAAGGATCAGATGACATAGAGCATGAAGTACTTGGTGTCACATTTAGTAGAATCAAAGTGCCAGCCAGAGTACTACTGTGGCTCTGGGTCAAAGTGCCATCAGTGGTTAGGTTCTAGGCTCGTGGCTAAGCAGGTGATAGAAAATTCAAGGAAGAATGAATGAATTTAAATGCCTATTATGTGACAAGTATTATGCTGGTTTTCATATATGTGTTATTCTATCCTCACTGTAACCCAGGGTCTCAGAGATTAAGTTTTGCCTGTAAAAGGAGCAAAAACAGATTCAGAGAAGTCATATGGCTAGTAAGTGCTATAGTGGAGATTCAAACTCAAATATTCTAATTTCAAGACCTGAATATTTTCCATGAAACTACATTGTAGAGAATGAGGAAGGAGCTGATCACAGTAAAAAGAAAGGTACCTAAAGTTTCTCAGAGCGTAGTTCAAAACGTTGCATGTAGGTGTGGAACTTCTGGAACAATAGGATTCGGATAGCTACATATCTCCTCCAAAAAGTAAAGAAAAGAGTGGCAAAAACAGTCAAAATAAATACTTTCACAACTCTGGAAATTAACAAAAGGCTTGTGACAATCTGAGGAACACTCCTTCAAGAAAAACTAACCTCTGAAAGAACAGTATTCCGACCATTTTAACTTGGCCAATGCCAACATCCTTTCCCCAGCTCTGCAGTATCACTGCAAACCAGCAGCCTTATTGCCAATAGAGGGGCAAACCAGCCTTGGAGCTCCTCAAATAATACTACCCTCAGAGCATCTCAATATTTCACAGTGTCTTCCAGCTCCCTGGTAAAGCCTCCTTTGTAGGGTGTTGTGGTTATTTGACTTGACTCACAGTTTTCTCAGAGGGAAAAGCCCTATTCCCCAGGATATTTGTCAAAAACACTTGGGGGGGAGGGGACAAAACAAAGGAACAAATAAACAATGAGCCAGAACTATTTAACCTCACAGTTGCTATGAACTAACTACCTGAGCATTGAAGTCATGTCTAACACACATATAGGGCGCCCCTCAGCAAAGGAGGTAAGAATTAGTCATTCAGAAAGTAGAGAATCTAACTTCCAGATTTGCCATATTATATTATCTAAAACATCAGTTTTCAAAAAAAGCAAATTACAACACACATAAAGAAACAGGAATGTGTGGCCAATACTCAGGGGGAAAAAAAGAAATTGTCCCTTGGGAGAGGCAGAACATATTGAACTTACTAGACAAAGACTTTACTTTATTTAGGATTTTTATTTATTTATTTGGGAGCAAGCAAGAGAGTGAGCACAAGTGGGGGGAGGGGCAGAAGGAGAGGGAGAAGCAGACTCCCTGCTAAGCAGAAAGCCCACGAGGGGGTGGTTCTCAGGATGCCAGGCCTCTGGGATCATGACCTGAGCTGAAGGCAGATACTGAACTGACTGAGCTACCCAGGTAATCCCACTAGACAAAGGCTAAATTAGCTATCATAAATGTGTTTGAAGAGCTAAAAAATAAAATGCCTGAAAAATTAAGGAAAGTAGGATAACAATGCTATACCAAATGGACAATGTCAGTAAAGAGGTAAAAGTTATAAAAAGAAATAAACAATTCCTGATTTTAAAGTATAAATGAAATGAAAAAAAATGACCACAGAAGTTCAACAACGGATTTAAGCTGGCAGAAGCACTAGTGAATTTGAAGACAGGTGAATTAAGATTATTAATTTCTGAAGAAAAGAAAGAAAAATTGAAGAAAATTGAAAAGAATCTCCAAAGCTATGGAATACCACCAAATATACCAACATGCACCATGGGAGTTCCAGAAGGAGAAGAGAAAAAGGCAGAAAAAATTGTTTGGAAAATAATGTCTGAAAACTTCTCAAATGTGATTCTACACACCTTGGACAAGCAAGGAACTCCAAGTAGGATAAATTCAGTGTCCACCTGAGACACATCAGTGTCAAAGTGTCAAAAGCCAAAGAAAAACAGTATTGTAAAAGCAACAAGAGAAAAATGACCCATTACATATAGGGGACTCTTAATGAAAATAATGGTTGACTTATCAGAAACCATGAGGCCAGAAGGCAGTGGTATGACATGTTCAGGGCACCTCGTGACAGAGTTGGTTAAGTGTCTAACTCTTGGTTCAGCTTAGGTGGTGATCTGCTGGTCATGAGATTAAGCCCTGTGGCAGGCTCTGTGCTCAGTGTGAGTCTGCTTAAGATTCTCTCTTTCCTTCTGCCTCTGCCCCTCCCCTCCACACACTCTCTCTCTAAAATAAACAATCTTAAAAAAAAAAAAAAGACTATTGATCAAGATGTCCATATCAGCAAAATTATACTTAAAAAATGAAGAAGACCGATGCCAGTAAAAATGACAGAGTCAGCAGCTCCAAATGCCCATCCCTCCAGAGAAACATTGAAAACACAAGTAGAAACTGTTAGAACCTACTTTGTTAGACTTCTGGGAAGTAGAAGTATATGGCACACAACCAAATAAAGAATCAAGGAAAAGGGAGCTTGAAAAACAATAAAAAAGATTAATATTTTTATTTGCTCTTGCCCTACTGTTTCCCTAGTTCACAGAGGTCTTGAAGATGGCAGCCCATGATCTTAGTATGGGACCCTGGTTCCTGGAGCCAGAGGGAATAGAGCAGTCCCCGTTCACAAAGAATTGTGTCTCTCTTCTAACTTGACCAAGGGCTACCTGAAACACTTGTCTTTGTTATGTCTAACTTCGAAATCACCATGGGCAGAAAAGTGATGGGCATTCCTAGAAAACATAAGGTGAATGGACAGCCTGTAGCCATCTGAGTGAAAAGGTTATGGATGAGGGGTACGACAGAGCCCCAAAAGCCCAAGGAAATAGCTTCTTTGGCAAATCAGTGTATTCAAAGTTGTCCATGTATAGTGAGGCTTTGAGAAAGCCATATGCATACCTAAGGCAGGGAACATGCTCAGAAAAGACCCAAGAAGATCCCAAGAAGATCCCAAGATTTTGGCTTTGGCTGATCCCTAGGCTCAGTGAGGGCCAGAAGTTAAGGATGAGGCCTGACTAAGCATTGAAGGAATATTCCAGCACAAAGCCCATCTGTAAAGACTGCAAAAGGATTTTTTCCCCTTTGTCTTGAGTGGTTTTCCCTATCACTTTTCCCCTCCCTCTTTTCCACTCTCTCTTTTGTCTCCAGGCATTCAAGGAAATCACTGTCAAACATTAGCTCCACACAAACAGAAAGAACAGATACTTCAGAAACTACACATGAAAGAAAAATACACTTTACAAAATGTTTAGAAAAGGTCTAAATAAACAAACAGTTACAGCTTACAGCAAGCAATAAATACAAACTCTGAGGATTGGGAAGAATCTGATTTCCAAAGAAATCACATTATAATATTATAATATTTTACATGTCTAGATTTAAAATTACAAATGATGCAAAAAAAAAACATAAGCAAACCTTAAAAATATGGCGCATTCTAGAATGATAGAAATTGTCCCTAAGAAAGCACTGACTTTGCTTTTCCTAGAAGACCTTAGATCAACAGTTTTAAATATGCTCAAAGAGCTAAAAAACAAAACAAAACAAAACCCCAAAAAACTAAGGACAAAGAACGAAAGAAAACCAGGAGAACAATGTCTCAAAACCTAGCCTTTCTCAAAAAACAGACAAAATTATAAAACAGTACCAAATAGAAATCCTGGAATTGAAAAGTACAGTATGTGAAATTAAAAAAAAAAACACACAAAAAAACAACTCACTAGATGGTTTTAATAACAGATCTAAGCAGGCACAAGAATAAGCAAATTTGAAGACAGCTCAACTTAATTTCCCCATTCTGAGGCGAACAAAAAAAGAATAAAGAAAAATGAACCAATAGAGCATAATGGGAATCCTCGAAAGAGAAGAGAGAAAGAATATATAAAGAATTAATGGTCAATTGGTCAATCATACCTCAATACCAACAGAAAAAAATGAACACAAAAAGAACCACATACACAAAAATATTAAGGGCTGAAAACTCCCCAAACTTGATAAAAGATATGAATCTACACATTTAAAAGTTCAACAGGCTCCAGGAAGGATAAAGGCAAAGAGATCTATAAGGAGACACATTACAGTCAAATTGACAAAAGCCAGAAAGAGAGAATCTTAAAAGCAGCAAGAGAGAAGCAACTCCTCATGTAGAAGGATCTTATATCATCCCTCTAAAAGAGATTTCTCATCAGAAACTATGGAGGTTAGAAGGGACAGCAATGACATATCTGAAGTGCTAAAAGGAAAAAAAACAAAAACAAAAACAAAACCATCTACCAAGAACTCTACAACCAGGACCACTATTCTTTAAAAATGAAGGAGAAATTAAGACATTCCCAGATAAATAAAATCTGAGGGAGTTCATTGCTAGAAGACTTGCTCTACAGGAGAAATGCAAAAAGGAATACTTCAAGCTAAAATGAAAGGACACTAGACAGTAACTCAAAGCCGTATGAAGGAATAACTCAGAAGAGATAACTATATATGAAGGTATAAAAGTTATTATTTTATTTTTGACTTGTAAGTCCTCTTTTTATTTCCTACGTAATTTAAAAGACAGATAAAAATAATAATAAACCCATGTCAGTGGGCAAATAAGAATATAATTATATGTAAGAATGTAATTTGTGATAACAACATATTGGGGAGTGGAGCTATGGAAGAGCAAAGTTTTGTATGCCATTGAAGCTGAGTTTGTATTCAATGTAGATAGTTATAAATTTGGGATATCAGTTGAAATCCACCTGGTAACTAGTAAAAAAAAAATTAATACACACAAAATAAGAAGGGAATCACGACAGGACACTATAAAATATCAAACATAAAGGAAGGCAAGTAATGGAGGAGATGAAGAACAAAAGAGGCATAAGACAAATAACATCTCAAACTGGCAGAAATAAGCCATTACTTTTCAGTAATCACTTTAAATATAAATGAAGTAAACTCTCCAATCGAAATGCAGAGGGTGGTAGAATGGACTAAAAAACATGATCCAACTGTATACTGTCTACAAAAGATTCACTTTTGATTCAAAGATGCAAACATTGAAAATAAAAGGATGAAAAAAGATTTTCCATACAAATAGTAACCAAGAGAGAGCTGGAATGGATATATTACATCAGATGAAATAAACTTTAGGACAAAAACTCTTATAAGAGACAAAGAAGGATATTTTAAACTGGAAAAAGAGTCAATCAATCAAGAAGATATAATAATTATAAACATATATGTACCTTGCACCAGAGCCACAAAATACAGGAAGCAAAAACCCACATAATGAAACAGAGAAACAGACAATTCTACAATATAGTTGAGGACTGCAATATCCCACTTCTGACAATGTACTGAACTAGACAATAGACCAATAAAGAAATACACTACTTGAACAAAATGTAAGACAAATATAGAACACTCTGCTCAATGAGATCACAGTACACATTCTTCTCAGGTGTCAATGAAACATTCTTCAGGATAGATATAGGTTAGGCCACAAAACAAACCTCAATAAGTTTTAAAAGACTGAAGTCATACAAGTATCTTCTCCAACTACGACAGCACGCAGTCAGAAATCAATAACAGAAAAAAAAAAACACAGATGAATGAAAATGAAAACACAGTATCTTAATACAACATATGGGGATTCCGTGGAAACAGTGCTCAGATGGTAATCTATAGCAGTAAAAATCTACATTAAAAAAGAACAAAGATGGGGCGCCTGGATGGCTCAGTCAATTATGCATCTGCCTTCGGATGAGGTCATGATCCCAGGGTCCAGGGATCAAGCCCTGCATAGGGCTCCCTCCTCAGCTGGATGTCTGCTTCTCCCTCTCCCACTGGCCCTCAACGCCCTGCCCCACCCCACCCCAGCTCGTGCTCTCTCTCACTCACTCTCTCCTATTCAACTATTTCTCTCTCTCAAATAATAAATACAAACTTAAAAAAAAAGGAACAAAGATCTCACATTAACAACTTTTAAATCAGTAACTTTATACCTTAAGGAACTGGAAAAAGAAGGGCAAATTAAACCAGTGCTAGCCGAAAGAAGGAAAAAAATAAGAGGAGAGAGTAGGTAGATGAAATAGAAAACAAGACAACAGAGACCATCAGTGAAACCAAAGTTGGTTCTCTGAAAAGACCAACAAAACTGTCCTTTAGCTAGAATGAGAAAGGAAAAAAGAGAAGAGGAAACCTTTTGACTATACCCAACTGAGATTACCAGTTAAGTACCTTTAAAGATCATTCTAATAGGAATCTTCTAAATAAACCTATAAACTTGACCTGTCTGGACTGTGAATCAAGGAGACTGTCACTTTGGGCCTGAGGACAGTTTGAAGGGATAACAGACAAAGTCTGGAGCAGGAACAGGAAAACCTGTATTATAGCCCTACTACTGGTGACCAACTGGCTGTGTGTCCCTGGTCAAATCAGTTAACTTTCTGGATATTCCCCTCCCAATCTATAAAACTGGATGGAAGGTGAAGTTGGATTATACGTTAAGGCTTCTTCCAGATGTAAAATTACCGTGATCTTATATGAAGAAATTAACATTTAAAATGGTTACCCAGTTTACTCAAAGCTTTTAAATCAGTGTATGGACTAATTTTAATTTAACAGAACAAAGTCTAGGGCATGTTCTTACCTAGCACTGAACAGGCTCCTAGTAAGAACATACTTCATGTAATTTAATTTATACTAACTGTAACCTCTACCATCTTTTAAGTAACATCAACGTAGGACCAAATTCTGGTCTCTTTCAGGAAGTAACCAAAACCACCACAAGCAGAATGGCCCCCATCCCATGTAAGCAGTGTACCCACCTTTCACTTTCATTGTTGCCCAGAAATGTTCCAAACTGTGAGGCATATGCATGCTCAAAGAGCATGATGAGGAAATTCTCATTAAATTCAAAAGAGCAAGGAAACTGACGAAGTATCTGCCACACACAGTCCAAGAAGAGAAGAAATACAGGTGACTCCCACTTCTGCTTACTAGTACAATAGGCTGACTGTGCACAGCGCTGCTGGAACGGGTGGCCAGCCTAAGACAGAGAAAATGGAAATGTGACAGTCATAGCCTAGTGAGAGCACATTATAGCACACTCTATTAACATGATTTCAAACAACTGCAACAAAACTCTTATTAGATGGAATATCATATAATCTGGATGGTTGCTGTTTAATGATTTCTTGGTTTAAAACAATTTTCAGCAACTGGGGAAAACAACAGGACTTCCAAATATTTAACAAGGCCATGCAGTTGAGGCATAACCATAAAATCTGCAATTATCCTTGGTGAACTCTATAAAATAAAATTGCATAGGTCTCTAATTTGTAGCAAAGTCAAAGAATATAAGGTCTTTAGGTACCAAACAAAAGACAGCTACCACCTTTTTTCTTTCCAAAGCATTGTAGATTATTGTAAGCTACATAAGTGTCACTACTGAATGGAAATAAATATGGGGCTATTACACACCAACTTTATAAGGTCACTCTTATTTTAATTACATATGGAAAAAAGTTATTGTCATGAAAAGATCTTTATAAGTACTTTTATATTAGAGATAAAATTGTTCCTAGTTGCCCTCTTCTCTCCAAAGGAACTGGAAGAGTCTGCCCTCTACTGACTAAAGGAAATTTAAGATCATTTGGCCCTCTGGTCCACCCAGAACCTGGTTACTGACCTTACCCCAAATCACACCCTTCTAGGTATTTCACACACTTGCTTTCCTTTGAGTCCTTATGCTACCTTATCTGACAAAGAAAAAGTCATGAACATTTACCAGTGGCTAATGGTGTTTTGATACCCATCAAAATGGTAATGTAAATCACATTCATTTATTCGTTTGCGCTACATCATGAGGAATGTTGCTGAAGCTATAGATTTTTACCAAATATTTGGGATGGACTTGAACAGAGATATAGGTTAGTTGTCAAGCAGGGTAGACAGACATGGTATACATAATAGCATTAACATATAATAAATCTAAATTTTTACTAGAAGGGCCAGAGATGATTTTTCTCCAGAGATAATTCTACTTTTAAGATCTATCTAAACATTTGTTCTTAATCACAACAATTTACTAAGTTACCCAGTGTATATACATTTTGTAAGTCAACCTCTGACTTGCAGGAGGATCTCAATCTATTTTACAAGGCCTTTTTTCAGTTGTCATTCAGCATTATGTAATGGCACTGCGTTATGTCCTAGGGGTAAAAGAGAAACCATCGGGGCATAGTTCCCCGACCTCAAAGGAGTCACTTTATTTGGGTCTCATTTAGGGAACAAGGTATGAAGACAATGGATTGATCTTTAGCTGTGAAGAAGGTTAAGGTCCCAAAAAAGACTTCATAAGCACAGCGACATTTAGCTGTATCTTAAATAAAGCAGGAGGATGTCACCTGGTGGGACAAGAGGATAGGGTGGAGCCGGAGGAGCAAAAGGCAGAAAGTTCTAGAGCATGTGCCTTATAATACAAGTCCTCATGCCCCCTTCTTGCTTTGTTCATATTTTTTATCTCTACACTAATTTACACTCTTTGTTATTTCCCCTGTAGGTAAACAAAGTACAATTAGTGAGAGTTTGTTAAGGGAATAAAATGCCAAGTGAGCAAAATAAGCAAAGAGAGGCACAAAAGTTGAGAAGCAGTAAAGATTATAAATGTTCACTGTGAGAAAGACAGTTAAACATACCATTTAAGCATTTTAATCAATCAAAATTTCATACATTCTTTCCACTCCTGCAAACTGGGATCACATCAATTATTAGCAGTTCCTGTGCGCACCGAACAGCTTTTCTTACCTGCAGCCACTCTCTTTCTATCAGGGCCTCAAAACCACGGATGGTCCTGCTTCTGGGTTCCAAGATGATCTGGGCCAGGGAGGTAACCTGAAGTGTGGAATCAGTTCCTTCTGTTCCATGAATCAATATGGATGCCCCTTCCCTGATAGGAAAATCCAGAGTACAAACGGGATACTCCCAACATGGTCAATCAACTCCGTTAAAAACAAACATTTATTGAGTACAGTATTTCAAACTCGTGCATTCTGCTCTGTCCAGTAGGATTTAGAGTTGAAATAAGGCACATGAAGAGAGCTTCTCTTAGGAAAGAAATACTATGGGTTTCAAATTTCACATGGCAAGATCCTTTTTAAGTTGTAACAACCTTCATAAAACATTTTAGTTGAATTTTTTCTCCTTTAACAAAATCCAAAAGCAGTCTTTTATCACACATAATAGGTGCTTATTTTTTCTGCCTTAATAGCTGATTAAAGCGCTTCTCATCAAACCTAGAAACATACACTTAAAAGTTATTTTTCTGTATCTCTCTGACCTTGATTCTACCTTTTCACCATTAGCTGACTATTAAGGATGCATTCATAAACTGTAATGTTACAGAGCTAGGAAATAAGACCCGAACCACACTTTCAGAAACATGAAAACAAGAAGAAACATAAAAAAAAAAAATGGCAAAAAACTGTCAATCTAGAAAGCCACTGGCAATGATATTACTATACCATGATACTTAGGAGGAGTCTGGGATACCCTTATTCTAAAGACTATGAAAGAAATATAAAAAACTAAATTAAGTACATCTCCCCTCCTCTTCTTCCAACTCTGATATTGAAATGACAGTGAAGGATATTTCAAGAAAAAGGAGAATAACCTCACCACTTTCTCAAAAGAATTTCAAGTTTGGGGACTATTATTAATTCTCTTCCCATATATCCTTTATGTAGCTATAACAAAAGGTAATTTTTTATGATTTCTTCTTTTATTATAAACATTTTCCCATGTCTCCACATCACCTTTAGAAGTACTGTATTAATGGTTATATAATATTTTATTAGGTGATCAACTAAAATTGGCTTAAATGTCTGAAGAGTTATTTAGGTCATTGCTAATTTTTGTTATACCATACTTAGCTTTTTGTCTTCTATGAAATTATCTGAGAGTACTTAATTTGAAAATAAGACTCCCCGCCATTCACCTATGGTTAGGTTAACAACCTCATTCTTAGGATGAAATCTCATGACTAGGTAGAAGGATAGGAGCAAATATTTAAGACTTCTGATGTATACATTCAATCAATACATCTTAGTTATCTGTGGCATATTTTACATTTAATTCAACTAATTTAATGTCTATTTTTACATTTTGAGTGACTGATTACAAAGGCAGATTTTTATGGAGATATAAATAATAAACCAGTATGTATCAGAAAAGGGACCCAAACCATGGCAAAATAAACCAAAACCTTCAAGTCGTACAAGAATGTGCAAGTCCCTATTTGTTTCTGGTGGCCAGCTGAATCTAAACAAAGGTGGAGCTAAATCCTGTTCTTCACCTTGCCTGGACCTGCAGCATCCCATTAGTATGGCTGCAAATTCAGACAACATGGTGACAAGTGTTCATTATCATTTACAGTTCATAAGAAAACAGAAGCCTCCGTATTCACCATGCAAGGGGAAATCTTTTTTTTTTTTTAATGAATATTGGCATTAATATTTATTATTAGAAGTTTTAATTAATGCTAAAAATTATCATTTTTTAAATTACATTTTATTCTCCATGTGAGTCACATCTATGCATAACCTGCTGGTTTAGACTGTAAGGAGTAATCATCTTGCCACAGTACAAGTTAATTTAATGGTGGGTTAAGTATACAGGAGAAATGCAATAGCTCCCAACATCTTGACCTTATACCAGGTCACGAAGTGGAAGTAAGTAGAATATTTTGATAGGAAAATCATCGAGATACCACCTTACACCAGTTAGAATGGCCAAAATTAGCAAGACAGGAAACAACATGTGTTGGAGAGGATGTGGAGAAAGGGGAACCCTCTTACACTGTTGGTGAGAATGCAAGTTGGTGCAGCCACTTTGGAGAACAGTGTGGAGATTCCTCAAGAAATTAAAAATAGAGCTTCCCTATGACCCTGCAATTGCACTACTGGGCATTTACCCCAAAGATACAGATGTAGTGAAAAGAAGGGCCATCTGTACCCCAATGTTTATAGCAGCAATGGCCATGGTCGCCAAACTATGGAAAGAACCAAGATGCCCTTCAACGGACGAATGGAGAAGGAAGACGTGGTCCATATACACTATGGAGTATTATGCCTCCATCAAAAAGGATGAATACCCAACTTTTGTAGCAACATGGACGGAACTGGAAGAGATTATGCTGAGTGAAATAAGTCAAGCAGAGAGAGTCAATTATCATAGGGTTTCACTTATTTGTGGAGCATAACAAATAGCATGGAGGACAAGGGGAGATGGAGAGGAGAAGGGAGTTGAGGGAAACTGGAAGAGGAGGTGAACCATGAGAGACTATGGACTCTGAAAAACAATCTGAGGGTTCTGAAGGGGTGGGGGGTGGGAGATTAGGGGAACCAGGTGGTGGGTATTGGAGAGGGCACGGATTGCATGGAGCACTGGGTGTGGTGCAAAAAAAATGAATACTGTTACGCTGAAAAAAAAAAATTTAGAAAAATCTTTTAAATACCTTCTTTAATGCTATCAAAATACCGAAGTAGCTTGCAGTTAACCCACTGCCCCAGATCCCATTTTCCATGGTTATTACATGGATGAAGTCTGTGTCTTTTCTGATGATTTTCCTATTAAGGGGAAATCTTTTTAACTTAGGTTATAAATAAACAAAACCCTTCAATACTAACATCTCATCATTCTCATCTCAACACCAAGAATCTCTACCCATTACTGGTTTTGTCATTAACTCATCACATAATCTTAAGCAACCTGTTCTATGATTAATTTCTCACTAACCATAAAAACATTACATACATACTTCCTTAATTTGGAAACATCAATAAAACAAATTATAGTCTCAAGGAAAAGTGCCACCCAACTATGTGTTAGTGATACTTATACCTACCTATTGTTTCAGAGGAATCCCCTTCTTAAAAAGGGCATTCTAAGCTTCTGCAACAACTTACACCAATCCTTTTGCCTCTGTGTTCAAGTCTTCTGCCTTAAGTCTCAAGGATTAGCAACCTTCAACTGAGTGAATAAACTAAAATCACTTCACATACTTCACATCACTGCCCTCAGGTATGCTCAACTTGAGATCCTGATGTAACTACACATATCAAGTCGTTTGTTAATAAGATACCTGAGAAATTAGAAAGAATCATTTTACTGTGTAAAAGAATTACATGTTTCTTTTCACTGATATTTCCAAAGTAAGACGACTGGTTTTGCCCTCTGAGCACAGTTTAAGAAAAGGAAAATTGGTAGATCCACAAGTCAAGGATTTTATAGAAAAAAATAGTTCCTTTAGTACTTAAAAAAAATCTGTATTATTGAAGATGTGTGATGTATGTGGTTCATTATTCGTCAATTAAATACCAGACTCTATGTACATATTTCATCGATAACTGAATGGCAATGACTATCATATGTAGTAATTTATACAATGATCTGAACATAAGGTATAGACTAGGCGCAAACTTTAACACAATATATAAACATAGTCTGGATAAAAGCAAAGTCTAGTTAGTAGTACGTGTCCCATTCCGGAACACTGAAATACACTTTACCTGTCGATACACTGAGCTGCTAGACAAGCAGTTGTAAGAATCTCTTTGATGTGAGTCAGCCAGTTCGAAGCCTCCAATCTACCGAGCCATCGGTCCATGTTATGTGTTTGGTCATTACAAGCTTCTACAAGTTTGATTAAGCTCTCCTGAAGAATGTGATACCTTTAAAAAACAAGAAAAAGTAAAAAAGAAAATGGAAAATACAATGATGAAGGAGAAACCAAGTCAAAACCCCAACCTCCAATATATCCAAGAGGCAAAGTAGCTCAAAACAGTACAAAAATATTTACCTAGTTATACAATAATTTCACAATTAAACATTGAAAAACTAATATTTAAAATGATTGCAAAGAAGCTTAACATGCCTGTCATGGTAAATCATTCCTCAGATGAACAGATTAAACCAGTTCATACAGCTGAATTATCTGACTAGGGAGCGGGCCAGAACACTGCATTTTGTGACAAGTCACGAGGCCACACGACTGACATCCACAATCCTGTTCCCACAGGTCCAACACTAGACACCGGTACCTTTGGCAGGGATGGCCAAGGCGAGCACAGATCCCTTGTTTTATTAGCTCCAACCCCACCCACCCATCCAGAAGCCCTTATAAACCTCTAGCTGTAAGCATAAACAAGAAATATAGGTAGAGGAAATAGTATGTGGGGGAGAGAAGTCTCTAGTCTTCTAACTTAGAAAACTATACTTACCTGTAGCATATCTGATCACTAAGTGTGGTGACCAGTGATCTACAAGTAGAGGAACAGAACTTGCAGTGATGAAATTGCAGAGTTTCATTTAGAGAAAGCATGCTATTTGACTAAAAGTCACTTTTGGGCACCCAAGATTAAGTTTCCTGCTTATCTCACAAAACATGACAGGATATCCCTCCAATTTCTGACTTTAGGTTAATGGGTAGGTTCCTTCGAGAACCTGTGATTTTTAACAGCTAATGGTTCACTCTAAGGCACTTCAAAAAAGAGTCCATTACCGTCTTTAGAGTCTTTTACCTCTCAATAGACTTATGAATCCGCCTCCACTGGGGATAATGAGCTTCTTGTTCAAAGCCGCCACCTTTGGCTCTAGCTTGCTGAGCGACATTTAAAGAGCGGGTGTCAATGATGTAACCTCGTTTTCCTGCCCTGAGGGTAGCATTTATCAGCTTTTCATCTTCTTTGCACCTTCTCCCATTTGTGCCAGTGAGTGGCTGACCACTTCGCATGATTACCTAGAAGCACAATGCAGTTTAAAATTGAAGAGTAGCTGCTTTGAAAGATTCTGAAAACGGAAATGAATTAGCTAGAGGAAGAGTTATCTAAAAAACTGTGTGACTCTTTGAAGATGAATTTGATCCTGAAACAAAGAAATATTTCTATATATTTGCAATAGTTAAAAACTGTAAAACAAAAATAAGCCCTGCACTTTAACAGATTTTCTTCTATCTCAAAAATAATTCCACATAATACAGTATAATTACTAAAAAGATCAAATATTACAATTCACTTAGTCAGTAAATTGTTTACTGGACAAGGCCTTGTAATAGAAGAATAATAGCCTATGTACTGACAAACTTTTGTTTCAACTACATAAAGAGGGTGGCAGGTTTTATCAAGAATTACAGGGATGCCTGGGCTCAGTTGGTTAAGCATCTGTCTTCTTTTAAAAAAAGAATTATAAAGAGAAAAGGCACCCATGGTAAGATAAAAAAGTTTATGCACTATTCTTCTTGTGGGAATCATTTTCATATCTTAAAAACTGTTTGTCTATTATTTATTCTCCTTTGGCCCTCTTTCATCATTTTCAGTATTTATTTATTTATTATTTATTTATTTATTTTTTTAAGATTTTATTTATTTATTTGACAGAGACAGACACAGTGAGAGAGGGAACACAAGCAGGGGGAGGGGCAGAGGAGAAGCAGGCTTCCTGCTGAGCAGGGAGCCCAATGCAGGGCTCGATCCCAGGACACTGGGATCATGACCTGAGCTGAAGGCAGACGCTCAACCAACTGAGCCACCCAGGCGCCCCTCCTTTTCAGTATTTAAAGACTTAGATGTTTCCAAAGATCATTAACTATATATTATAAAAGGTCTGGTTTTAAAACTTTTCTCAAATCAGTATTATATTGGTCTCTTCCCTGGTGAATGGTTTAGTTATTTCCACTTTACCCCATAATACATGCTGTTATCTTAACTACCTTGAAATTTAACAGGATGAAGAAAGATCATCCAGAAGATGACAACAGCTAACTCCCAGATGTCGACAGTTAATTCCCAGCTAACCATGTAAATGGACACATAGTATATTTAATATCAGTTTTTAAAATGCTTTGTAATGAACCCTGATTAACAGAAATACTACTGAGCAAATAGGATAGATGATCTGATGTCAAAGCAGCAAATTTTTAGCAATCTTTTTATCCTAAATATCCATACTTGATTTATTATCCAGGGAAAAAAGGTAAATGGAATATGACTATAACTTATCCACTAATTTACTATTGGCTTCGAAATGAGGAACAGAGTTACCGACTGAGAGAAAAGAAGAGAACAGAAACAGATTTAGAAAATATTTAGGGGGCGGCTGCATGGCTCAGTCGGTTAGGCATCCAACTCTTGATTTCGGCTCAGGTCATGATCTTAGGATCATGGGCCCCATATTGGGCTCCATGCTCTCACTTAGGATTCTCTCTCCACCTGCTCTACTCTAGCCCCACCCTTGTGCACTTTCTCTCTCAAAAAAGAAAAAAGAAAAAATATTTAGGAAACATACACATACATACAGCAAGTGCTTGCCTATTCAATTACTTCTCCTTTTTGGGAAAACAAAAATGTCCACTCAATTTACCTCTTATAGGGAAATTTAGCACAGATAATTAAATAAAGATAATTAATTAAAATCAAGTATCCTACCGCTGTTCTAGTTGGGGAAATTTATTTTTCTATCTAACAGCATTATTTTAAGTATCAAATGAACATTAGCTCCCTTTGTACTGAGTCCTGAAGATAAACCTATCTGGCCTTTCTAATTTTGAACAGCATCATGAACAAAATTCAAAATCATACCCTAATCAGAAAACATACTACTCCTGATTCCCTAAAGTTTAAAAGAAGGAAGTCCTAACAGGAGAGACTAATCACATCTATGAACACGTACATAGAAAAGGGAGTATTTCTAAGAAAAAATCTGCAAACTAAGGCTTTCAGTGGATCAAGGAGCAGTACCATACACTTACCATTCCATTTTTTTTATGGTAATAGCTGAGTACTGGGAAGCGTCCTCCATGCCGAAATGCAGCTACCTTTCGAAGAGCTTCATCATCAATGGATTTGGGAACTATGACAATTGGCGGGTAAGAAGGGCAGACAGCAAATTCCTTATTGACATAGCTTAACCTCCATTCACTGGTCTGAAAAACACAAAATACTTCAAAGCTAAGCAAGTATCTCAATGTCACAAAATAATCTGAAAATTTTAAAGGACCTTAGAGATCAACTTCCACACAACGAAGAAGCCATCTCTCAGGAATTTAATGTAAAGATACCTAACCTATACTTGAAGGAGTTCTATTCTTCAGAATCAGCTTCCTGCTATGCTAGGGATCCTCTGTTCCTAGAAAGTGCTTCCTTTTATTGAGCAAAATGAGGCTCCTGTCACTTCCTCTACTGTTTTTACTATGATTTCAGCACATGTTCCTATTTCACATGGCATCCTATTAGCTGACATCATCCCATTCATCCTTTTTGGGTACCTTTTATTTTATTTTATTTTTGGTACTCTTCAGTATAGCAACAGGAAGACTGTAATACTCTAGATAATGCTTAACCAGAACACATGAGAACAGAGCTACTACGTACATCAAATCTCCTGTTCTTTTCTATTATTTAAAAAAAGGAGGGGGGCCTGGGTGGCTCAGGTCATGATCCCAGGGTCCTGGAATGGAGCCCAGCATCTGGCTCTCTGCTCATCAGGGAGCCTGCTTCCCTTCCTCTCTGCCTGCCTCTCTGCCTACTTGTGATCTCTGTCAAATAAATAAATAAAATCTTTTTAAAAAAATAAATAAATAAAATAAAAAAAGGAAAACGTAGAAAGACCGGTAATATCTTTCTTAAGACAATAATGACTTAATACAGGGCGCCTGGGTGGCTCAGTGGGTTAAGCCGCTGCCTTCAGCTCAGGTCATGATCTCAGGGTCCTGGGATCGAGCCCCACATCCGGCTCTCTGCTCAGCGGGGAGCCTGCTTCCTCCTCTCTCTCTGCCTGCCTCTCTGCCTGCTTGTGATCTCTGTCTGTCAAATAAATAAATAAAATCTTTAAAAAAAAATAATGACTTAATACTTAAAAAAAAAGTTATACATAGGAATCAATGAACTCATTTCTAACTCACTACACTAAGTACTAAAAGTATACCATATAAAGTTATCCAATGACAACTTATTTCGAATATTAAAATAAAAACCACTTGAAGACTGTAAAAAGTTGTATATGCAAATTTTGATATATTCTGATAAATCAGAGCTGGCCATGGGTTGCAGTACCAAGAAGATAAAACATACTGGCCATTGGTTGCAGTACCAAGAAGATAAAATTGAAGGATGTTCAACATACTGTAGAGAAAGACATTTAAAAAAAAAAAAAACCCTTTTACATGATACAATATATTTTTAAATTAAACCATTTTTACTTTTCAGTCATTCTCTTTACCAATTTTAAAGACAGTTTCTAAAAGATTTATTATTTAATAAAAGGAATTTACCTGTTTCCTGCTTACCTCCATCTCATAATTCCCCCTTTCCCCAGAGGCAATCATTTTCAACTCTTTTAGCTTTAACTCGAGTTTACCTCCAAATTTCTAAATAATATGATTACATTGTTACTTCTTGATTTTCAAGATTAGGCATTACTTATTGATTTCCTACTCTGGAAAAAGGTATGATCGTCCACTGACCTGCAACACCACTTTCTGGCATATATTAAGTTTACATGCCTAGAGGGCTCTCTACTCTGTCCCACTGGTGTATTTGCAGTAAGTCCCATAGCTTTTAGAATAGACTTGATATTTAGTAGGCTAAGTCTATTCCTCCCTTTTTTTTTTCCCCTCTCCAAGACTAGCTGGGCTCCTCTGAGTTCTCTGCTCCTCTGTGTGGCTTTTATGAAATTTCATGTTAAAAACCACTGCAGTTTTAATAAGACTGCACTGACCCTACGGATTCATTTGAAGACAATTACATCTTTAAAATATTCAATCTCCTTATCCATGAGCATAGTGCCTCTCACCTTTCTAAAGCTTTCTTAATTTTTTCAATAAAGTTGTATAATTTTCTCAATAAAAGCATACTTTTATTTAGTATATTGCATACTTTTCTTTAGTATATTCCTAGAAACCTTTTATTTTTGTTGCGTTTTAGTTCTATGTTTTCAAAGTTGTGGTTGATGGAGAGAAATGCTTATTACAGTTGCAAGATTCTTTCAGCTTCCTGTGTACACAAGCATATAAGCAACAATGACAGTCTTGCTTCTTTCATTCCAATCCTTATACCTTTTATTTTTCCTTCTTGTTTTACTGAACAAGCAAGGAGTAGTGGCTGGTAGGCATCTTGTCTCACTCTTGAACTTAAAGGGAATAATAAAAGATTTGCTCTTTGTATGTTCTTATTTTGGGTAGCTTTATCAGATTTATCAGATAGCACTTATCAGATTATGTAAATTCCCTTCACCTGCATTTCTGATAAGAGCTTTTATCAAGCATAGATGTTTAGTTCTAGCCTACTGTTTTCTTCTATTTTCATTTTATTACACCATTTGTGTAATTTGTCTTTCCTCTCTAATTTTGTGATATTCCCTTTGCCTTACTTACTATTTATAGCTGTACTACAACACATCTAGTAAAGATTCTTTTTTATTGTCTTGCATGGTGTTTACCAGGATACTTTAAGAGCTTGTGACTTTCATTGATTCTGGAGAACTCTTGACCATTACCCATTTGAATAGTGCTCTCTATTATCTTTCTCCTGAACTCCCATTTAATAAATGCTGGATCTTTTCCCTTTATCATCCCTGCATGTATCTAACTTCTCTATCACCTCCCCCAACTTTCTTGTTTCTCTGCTCTGTACTCTGAGCAATTACTTCAGATCTATATTCCAGATCATTAATTTTGTTTCTCATCAGCTACTTAAACCTTACATTAAGTTTTTTCTCTTTTTAATCAACTTTCAGATTATTTGTATGAAAAATAAACTAGGTCCAGTTAGAATGCCCGGTTTCATGAGTCTTGATAGTTGTATACACCCATGAAACTACCACCACAATCCAGATAACAAATATTTCAATCATCTCCCACAAAATCCCATGTGTATTTCTTACAATTTGTATCTTCCCTTCCACATCCCAAACTAGGAAATCACTAATCTGCTTTCAGTCACTATTGGTGTTTACCTAAAAAATCTTTGCCTAATCCAAGGTCATAAAGGTTTTTTCCTATGCTGTCTTCGAGAAGTTTTATAGTTTTAGCTGTTATTTCATCCATGTATAGGTCTTCCTTACACCATACCACATTCTCTTGATTACTGGAGCTTTATATTAAGTTTTAAGATCAAGGAAAAGGTTGAGACGCCTGGGTGGCTCAGTTGGTTAAGCGGCTGCCTTCAGCTCGGGTCATGATCCCAGCATCCTGGGATCGAGTCCCATAGAGGGCTCCTTGCTCAACAGAGAGCCGCTTGTCTGTCTCAGCCTGCCACTCTGTCTGCATGTGTTCGCTCTGGCTCGCTCTCTCTCTGACAAATAAATAAAATCTTTGAAAAAAAAAATCAAGGAAAAGGGGCGCTTGGGTGGCTCAGTGGGTTAAATAAAGCCTCTGCCTTCAGCTCAGGTCATGGTCCCAGGGTCCTGGGATGGAGCCCCCTATCGGGCTCTCTGCTCGGCAGGGAGCCTGCTTCCCTTCCTCTCTCTCTGCCTACTTGTGATCTCTGTCTGTCAAATAAATAAATAAAATCTTTAAAAATAAATAAATAAATAAATAAAACGAAAGCAAGGAAAGTAAACCGTTTATTTTCTTAAAGGTGTTTTGGCTATTCTAGTAATTTTGCAAATCCATATACATTTTAGGATAGTTCTGTCAGTACCAACCCCAAGATAAAACAGCTATTGGAATTGATAGGCTTTTTATTGAATCTATATATCAATCTGGAGGCAACAGTCATCTTTTTAAAAAATTTTTACTTGTTTATTTGACAGAGAAGGAGAGCACAAGCAGTGGGGAGCAGCAGAGGGAGGGAGAGGGAGAAGCAGGCTCCCATTGCGCAAAGAGTGAGACATGGTGCTTGATCCCAGAACCCTGGGAACATGACTTGAGCTGAAGGCAGATGCTTAATTGACTGAGCCACCCAGGTGCCCCAGAGACAATTGTCATCTTAATGAGAGGTCAGCAAACAATAGCCTACAAGCCAAATCCAGCCTACTGCCCATTTTTGTAAGTAAAGTTTTATTGGAACCTAGCACTACCAATTCACTGATGTGTTCTCTATTGCTATTTTCATGCTACAACAGCAGAGTGATGTAGTTGTAACAGAGACTGCATGACCCACAAAGCCTAAAATATTTACTTTGTGGTCCGTTATGTAAGTCAGCCCACTAGTGATCTTAACCATACTGTCTTCTAATCCACAAACATGGTATATCTCTCCATTTATTTAGAGATTCTTTAACTTCTCTCTGAAATGTTTTGTGTTTTTCAGTGTAAAGAATCTGTACTTCTTTTGTTAAATTTATTCCCAACTATTTTATTCATTTTCAGATTGCTTGTTGCCAATACAATTAGTTTTGGTATATTAATATTGATCAACCTTGCTAAACTTGTTTATGAGTTCTAAGTATTTCATTGATTTATACTCTTCTTTTTATTATTTCATTCCTTCCAGTTACTTTGCTCTTTTTTCTCCATACCTTAAGTTGGTGATTTTAGACCTTTCTTCCTTTTTCAATCTAAGCATTTTAAAGCTCTAAGTTTCTCTTTAAACATTGCTTTAGCTGTATTCCACATATTTTATGTTGCATTTTTATTATCATTCAGTTCAAAATATTTTCTAATCTTTATGATTTCATTTCTGACTCCAAGGTTATTACAAGTATTTTGTTTAATTTATAAATATTCTGGGTATTCCTCACATTTATTTTGTTTGTCCCTTCGGTTTTTATTGTTTTTTTTTCTTTCCCACCAGTACTTTAGATTATTTAATTTTTTAGAATTGCATTTTAATATTTGTATTAAATTTTAAATTATGGCTCTTCCCATTTTTAAAAAAGTGATTGCTCTAGGATAGTGGTTCTCAACCAGGGGTGAATTTGCATGGAGGTAACTTTTGTCAATGTGTGGAGACAACCACAGGCAGGGGGAGGAGAATTCTATTG